TTCACTCCACTGGCTGCCTGTGCATTTTATAGTTAAAGAGGCAACAGATAGGATTTTTTTTTTAGCTTGGCACCACCTAGTGTCAGCGGTGTTGCTCGCACTGTCGCAACAACCAAATTTATAATCAATAAAATGTAGGCTGTAAAGCCACCAGTATACCTCTATGTAAAATGAGAAGGTGTGTGGACAGTCTACTAAATAAATGAGTAAAGAGACCGAGCAACAATTATCAGATTTATCTGAAGAAAAAACAAATAGTAATGCAAATAATTATACCAGAATGCACAGTACCAGTACAACCACCTCACAGTAAATTATACCAATGTGTACAGTATTAGTACAAACAACAATTGACATGTAAGGGATAATGTATAGTGAGCCGGTGACTGTTGAAAAATAACTCTCAACAGGGGAATGGAACCCTGATGCGCAGCAGTTATTTTTCAACAGTCACCGGCTCACTATACATTATCCCACTTAGAACATGGCTTACTACTAAAACATTCAAATGTTACAACTGGCATCAATATTATTAAATTGCTGGCAGAGTGTACTGACAGAGGAGAGTTGTTCACCAGACAAACGGGAGCAGAGGAGAGGATTTTACTCCACTTCTCCCGGTCGGAGATGCTGGGTGCCCAGTAGCTGCGAAGGCTGCCCTCACATGGGGCCAGTTGGAGTTCAAATTGAGTGGGAAACAAAGTCCAGTGTTCACTTTAGCTGGGCGATGTCCGTCCATAGCTGCCTCCGTGAGAAGAGAACGGGGGGGGGGGGGGGGGGGTATCACTGTCCGAGGGCTGCTGTAGAATGGCAATGAGGATGTCAGCTGACCAACACTTGCTAACCGGTCCCTGGTTGCGGCGATTTGCGATGCTGGACAGCTAGGAATTAACTAGCAGCCAGTACAGTACAGTCCTCTCTCGTCTAGCTAACATTTAGCCGTGTTACTTAGGTTTGCTGATCCATTAGAAAGAAAGCTAGCTGGACATCTCTTTGGTCACAGAGCTCCCTCCATCTCTTGAACGCCTGACTAAGGTTTACTCTTGTTTTTCCTCTTCTTCTCTTCTTTGCCTCCTCAGACAGAGGAGCTTGTTTTCTTTTGCTAGGGCGTTTTTCACTTGTTTACAAACTTTGTCCGTCTGCCATTGTGGTCGTGACTCAACCATCTCATGCCCAGCTCCTCGTAAGGACCAGCTCCAGTCCCTGATTGGCTGACCGACCAGTTTCGCAATACATGGCACGTTTCCTGCCGTAAAGCAGATTTTTTCCGCGAAATTTCGGCACCAGTGGCAGAAGCTTATTACAAAGATTGCAAAGCCACTAAGTAACCTATGTAAACGCTAATACTCTGATTTTACTGTGGTCACTACCCTGTGCAATAACAGGTAAAAGTAGCACGCACATCCCAAAAAACTTAATGCTGGGTGCTGGACCAAAAGGTAAGTATGGAATAAAAGATAAAGTCCGCACACCAGAAGCTGCTCCTTGAACAATTTATTCATGTGTTACGTTTCGGGCCCCTGCCCTTCATCAGACATGAAGTGAATGTGAATACACCTCCATTTATACACACACAACCCCTTAGGGTCACCTGACACAATCAGGTCATAAACCACAGGTGTGAGAACAATAATAATAATTATCAAACAGAAAAATATATATTTCTGATTGATGAGAAACAATCTTTAAATGCAGTACAATGCAACAATGCTAGAATACCACTTTACAAAGATTCTATAAGAAAATCTTTAAGAAGGTTCTATAAGAAAATCTTATATAAGGCCTGCAGTGCAAATATAAATATAAACAAATCCCACACACTTTAAATATCACATAAAGAGAAACCTCAGGTGAAGACCATCATAAATTTATGCGATATCAAAAGGGAAAAAAAATGTTCTGTAGAGGCATCTCTAATAAATATCAAACACAGCGCTATGGCAAGTGCAGACAATATGAGAAACATGGCTCACACAGTAGTAGCAGAAAGCAATCAAAACCAACATCATACCAGGTACTGAGGGAACAATGTAAACACAAATGACAAGTTCCTAGACCCATAGAAATGAAGCGCACGGACCACACACATTATAAAAAAGGCCTCAAGTCAAAATCAACATTAAGCCCTTTGGGAGCCAAAGTGTCCAGGGTATATATCCAAAAAGCTTCTCTTTTAAGTACGACAGAGTTAATGTCGCCACCATGTGAGGGCTGTTTAACTAGTTCTATACCTATGTATCTGAGAGAGGAGACATTATGCGAGGCTTGTGTGAAGTGCACTGCCACTGGACTTCTGGTGTCGTGGTTTCTAATGTTAGATCTATGTTCTGAGATTCTAGTTTTTAGTGGTCTGGTGGTTTTACCAACATACGCCAGGCCGCACGGACACTTAAGCAAATAAATAACATTTTTGGTATTGCAGGAAATAACACCCTTGATGTTAAAAGACTTGCCATTCCGTGGATGATTGAAAGTAGAGGTTTTGTGTGTGAAATTACACTGGGTACAGTTGCCACATCTGTAATTCCCAGAGGGGACAGACTGTAAGAAGTGTGGTGGAGTCACAGGCGGCTGATATGCTCTCACTAACATGTTTCTAAGGTTTGGAGGTCTCTTGAACATAACTCGAGGAGGTGTGGAGAAACATTTAAGTGAAGGATCAGAATTGATGATGTGCCAATGTTTTTGAATGATGTTTTGAAGTTCTCTACCAAGAGGTGAGTACTGGATCACACAGTTAACCTTAGGCTCAGTTGCTGTAGAACTAACATTGTTCAGACACTCAGATTGGGAAACAGAGTCAAAGCGGCTGCGAGCTTGTGCCACCCATTCATGTTTATATTGTCTGTCTTGAAAACGTTTTTCCAGGTCAGAGGCTTGAGCATGATAATCCACATCCGAGCTGCAAATGCGGCGGATACAATTAAACTGAGAGACAGGTAAACTCCTTATGAGCGGGATGGGATGAAACGATTGTCCATGAAGAATAGAGTTGCTGTCAGTACTTTTGCGGTAGAGGTTGGTGCCCAGTCTATTGGAGTCTCTATACAGCAGGATATCTAAAAAGTTCATCTTATGTTTGTCGTATTCTATGGTAAATTTCAAATGGTGACTGCTGGTGTTGATAAAGCTGTGGAACTCCTTGAGTTGGGCCTCAGTGCCTGTCCAAATGAAAAAAATGTCATCAAGTTGGAGATCAATGGCAGGAATGGGTTGCGGTGGTGATTAAAAATGACTTCCTTTTCAAAGAGTCCACAGTATAGAGAGGCAAAACCCGGAGCCATCTTGGCTCCCATGCAATTCAGAACCAAATAGAAAAAAGTTAGATGTAAGTATAATTTCTATGAGGTCCACAATACAGCGAGCGCTAGGGGTGCAGTCGGTGCGCAGGTTTAGAAAGAGTTCAGCTGCCTGGAGACCCCCCTCAAAGGGTACATTTGTGTATAAAGACTCAATGTCCATGGTAACAAAAAAACAGTGATCATTATTCATTATTCATTACTCAGCATAATCCAGCAGAGGTAAAAAAAAGTTGCAGATATCAGGTGTCTCCTAGCCTGAAGGCAGAAGTTAGATTTATTTCTAAAATTAGAAAATATGGAACTGGGTGTTGAGATTCACATAAGGAACCTGATGAAGCAAAATGTTCATTGAAACAATTGAGAATGGCTGATTTATCTGTTACAGCCCGTGAATGTTTTACAATGCAGGCTGGCAATTCGTTTGTGGCTACATTTCTGTACAAGGATTTTATTACTTTCCAAAATTTCTTAGGGTCATTAAGGTTGCTAGCAGTTTTAGAAAGATAAAACTCAGATTTGGCCTTTTTTGTGAGAGAGGTAAAATGATTTTGGAGCTGTTTAAAAATCAAGCAGTCAGCCTGGGATTTGTATTTTCTAGTCTTAGCCCAGGCAACATCCCTTTCCTTTAGTAAATTGGACAACTGGGGGGAAAACCATGGACTGTTTTGGCCTTTCACTCTAAATTTGTGGAAAGGAGCATGTTTATCTATGTTTTTAATTAAAGCATCATGAAAATATTTCCAGGCCATTTCTACATCATTAATAAGAGAGATTTGTTCCAATCAAAGGCCCACAGATCGTAGAGGAAAAGCTTGCTCACAAAAGTGCTTAAAATCCCTTTTAATAACAATATGAGATCTTGATTTAGGGAGCTTGGCTTGTCTGACAGCAGCAATGACACAGCGATCACTAATATCATTTGCAAAAATACCTATATCTGAATATTTATGAGGAGCAGTTGTTAAAAATTCATCTAGAAGAGATGATTTCTCTGGGCAGTTGAACCATTAATAAGTTGTGTAAGGTTAAATGAGTCACAGGTAGATTTAAAGCTGTCAGAAACGATAGACAGCCAGTCCCAGTTAAAATCTCCAGTCAGGAGAATCTCATTAAAATCAAAGGATGACAATTGCTTACGCAGTGATAACAAAGCCTCACTGCTTGCTGACGGTGGTCTATAACAACCTAAAAATGACCTCTAAGAGGTTCCAATTTCAAGGCAAGAAATTCAAATTGCCTGTTGAGTGATACTGATGATAGAATGGTAGCATGAAATTTTTTTTTATATATATATGGCAATGCCACCACCTTTTCTGGGATGGTCACAACGGAAAACATTATAACCCTTAATTGCATTGTCTTTGTCTGTAATAGATTTGCTTAACCAAGTCTCCGACAAGACAAGAATGTTGTGAGTGTCAGTGGATTTTGCCCAGATTTTCACTTGATCCAGTTTAGGAAGCAGACTTCTGACATTAAGGTGAATAATACCAAGCCCAGATCAGGCTTTAAAATCACAAGGGGTATTCAAGCAGTTAAAATTAAAATCAAAATCAGGGCCAGGGTTAAGTTGAACATTTCCTAATAGTAAAAGCAAGAGTATAATAAAACATTTCCTTTTGAATAAATTCTGGATTAGCATATAAACAGGGTTGTTTCTGTTTTTTTTTTCAAAACTTGATTCTGTCGTCTTCACAGTTGTTGCCATGACAACAGACGAGGCGGAGAGTCACCAGAAGAAGCCGAGGCAGCAGGAGGAAGCTGGCCAGGACCCCAGGCCACCCTCACCGGAGGAGGAGCACCTCCGGCCTCGCAACCGCAACTCTGCCAGCCGTGGCCTTTCTCGCCTCTTCTCCTCCTTTTTAAAGAGACGCTCACAGTGTGAGAGTGAGGCGGGAGAGAAGGAGGACAAGGAAGAAGAAGCTAAAGCCCCCATTGCAGACCCAGAACCTGAACTGAGGACCGAGGGAGAGGTCGCTTTGGATCAGCACTCAGTGAGCAGTGCTGAGGCTCAGGTCAGGCTTCCATGCTGTGTGTCTGTGTCTACAGGACATCTGAAGCCCTCTTCAGACATTATCTGTTCAATTACTGACTTATCATTCAGATATAGGTGACTTTTACATTAGTGTTCCTTACAGTTTCATTCAAACATGAGGGAAAGAAAGAGAGCAGTGGTGAATTAAAATAGTTTTCTGTTCTCCCACATTCAGCATCATCGATAAATTTTGAAACAGATTTTTTTTGTTGTTGCCCTAGTGACAGTCAAAAACACGAAGGAGGCTTGCACCCTCCTCTCACAGTCAATCCCCTCATACATTTTTACATCAATTTCAAAATTTGGTGTTAGAGAACAAGCATTGAATGACAGGATGTTTAAGTTGGAACTAGTTTACTTTGTATTTGCTCACAGACTGTATGTACTGTAGAGGGTTTCATCAATACAGTCTGCATGAATGAAAATTCAAGATATAAGAAGAAATTGTTGGTCAGAACATCAGAGTTTTTAAACCTCTTTTGTATGTAACACAATAGTTTTTATAGACCTAATATGGTCTGAGAAGAATCTCCTCAACAACCTGACATTGGCTCTTCCTCAGTGTTTCCTAGTTTATTGAACTGATTTTATTGAGGACTGAGATAATACATTTATAACAGTAATCTTAGGAGGCTTTCTCTGCTACCATGGGGGGTTAGGGTTAGGGTTACAGACTACATGTTTCTTCTGGTCATGAATGTCAGACAGAAATACACCGGATGGCCAACAACAAGCACACACTCTGGGAAGAAGCAAGAAGTTACCCATATCCTCTGGCAGCAATCACGGGTTTAAGCCCTTTCTTGGCCAGCTGAGGCTCTGCTGCCCAAAATTAAAGCCGCAAGCAGCAGCAAGTAGTTTCACAAAGCTGAGAAAAATCACTTCTGCTGCTGTAAGGCGCATTTCACACAGGATAGTCGGGGGACTCGGGGTTCATTTGCTGAAAAATTTCACACCTTCATTTGGTTCGATTCACTTTCACACTGCATTTTTTGAAGCGGACCAAACAGCCTGGACAACTTCATGCAATTACAACAGCTGCTCGTTTGGGGCGGTATTGCCCAAAACGACCACTGACAAGGAAGAAAAAAAGCATGAGGAAGAAGAAAACCCGGCTCATTGATTAGCCAGGACTGAAAACGGAAATCCATCCCCTTCAGCTGGCTTGGTCACCACAAAAACAATGGAGCAACACCAAATTTATGCAGTCTTGGGGTAAGCACCTGCACCTCCTCACTACTTCATGTCTGCCCACGAGACATTTTCCAACATTTTCTTTTTTTACCTCTGCACTTTTCCCGCTTCGCGCTGTTGGCTTTTTTTTTTCTACCCAAAATGCACTGTGCTCTACATCACTGCCTCTCTTTGGTTCACTTCCTCTGTTTGGTTCGCTGGATAGTCCGTTTGCATTTCCCACTGTAAGTGGACTGCAGCAGGGTTCACTTGCAAGTGAACCGTGACCCCCAGTTTTCAAGCGGACCAGGGTGTGCTCGTTTGGTCCGCACCAGAGTTCGAATGAGCGTTCACACCACTCCAAATGAACCGAGCCAGTGTGAATGCATCCTTAGTTTTTTCCTTTTTTATCTTTTAATTGAATCAATCAATCAATCAACATTTATTTCTATAGCCCTTTACAAAACCCAAAGGTACCCAAAGTGCTTGACAACAGTGTCAGATAACAATAAAAGTACATGAAGTACCACACACACACACACCAACAATAAGGCAATACAGAAAAGAAAAACAATGGAAAGTGCGACAGTGCTACAGGGCATTAAAAGCCTTTCAACATAGATAAAATACATAAAAAAAAGAAAAAAAAAAAGAATAGCCCTAGTCGGGATTAAAAGCAATTCTAAAAAGGTAGGGCTTCAGCTTCGATTTAAAAAGGCCCATTTTTAACCAGGTAATCGACATTCCGTTGAGATCAACAATCTCATTTTCAAGGGAGACCTGGCCAAGACAGCAGCATACAAAAAAGTTACATGTAGAAATATTACAACACCTATGAACGATGACAAGAACCAAACCAATGGATTAATTCATCCTTGTACTTATAAGAGCTTTGATATCAGGCAGAGAGACCAATATACAGTACAGGCCAAAAGTTTGGACACACCTTCTCATTCAATGCGTTTTCTTTATTTTCATGACTATTTACATTGTAGATTCTCACTGAAGGCATCAAAACTATGAATGAACACATGTGGAGTTATGTACTTAACAAAAAAAGGTGAAATAACTGAAAACATGTTTTATATTCTAGTTTCTTCAAAATAGCCACTCTTTGCTCTGATTACTGCTTTGCACACTCTTGGCATTCTCTCGATGAGCTTCAAGAGGTAGTCACCTGAAATGGTTTTCCAACAGTCTTGAAGGAGTTCCCAGAGGTGTTTAGCACTTGTTGGCCCCTTTGCCTTCACTCTGCGGTCCAGCTCACCCCAAACCATCTCGATTGGGTTCAGGTCCGGTGACTGTGGAGGCCAGGTCATCTGCCGCAGCACTCCATCACTCTCCTTCTTGGTCAAATAGCCCTTACACAGCCTGGAGGTGTGTTTGGGGTCATTGTCCTGTTGAAAAATAAATGATCGTCCAACTAAACGCAAACCGGATGGGATGGCATGTCGCTGCAGGATGCTGTGGTAGCCATGCTGGTTCAGTGTGCCTTCAATTTTGAATAAATCCCCAACAGTGTCACCAGCAAAACACCCCCACACCATCACACCTCCTCCTCCATGCTTCACAGTGGGAACCAGGCATGTGGAATCCATCCGTTCACCTTTTCTGCGTCTCACAAAGACACGGCGTTGGAACCAAAGATCTCAAATTTGGACTCATCAGACCAAAGCACAGATTTCCACTGGTCTAATGTCCATTCCTTGTGTTTCTTGGCCCAAACAAATCTCTTCTGCTTGTTGCCTCTCCTTAGCAGTGGTTTCCTAGCAGCTATTTGACCATGAAGGCCTGATTCGCGCAGTCTCCTCTTAACAGTTGTTCTAGAGATGGGTCTGCTGCTAGAACTCTGTGTGGCATTCATCTGGTCTCTGATCTGAGCTGCTGTTAACTTGCGATTTCTGAGGCTGGTGACTCGGATGAACTTATCCTCAGAAGCAGAGGTGACTCTTGGTCTTCCTTTCCTGGGTCGGTCCTCATGTGTGCCAGTTTCGTTGTAGCGCTTGATGGTTTTTGCGACTCCACTTGGGGACACATTTAAAGTTTTTGCAATTTTCTGGACTGACAGACCTTCATTTCTTAAAGTAATGATGGCCACTCATTTTTCTTTAGTTAGCTGATTGGTTCTTGCCATAATATGAATTTTAACAGTTGTCCAATAGGGCTGTCGGCTGTGTATTAACCTGACTTCTGCACAACACAACTGATGGTCCCAACCCCATTAATAAAGCAAGAAATTCCACTAATTAACCCTGATAAGGCACACCTGTGAAGTGGAAACCATTTCAGGTGACTACCTCTTGAAGCTCATGGAGAGAATGCCAAGAGTGTGCAAAGCAGTAATCAGAGCAAAGGGTGGCTATTTTGAAGAAACTAGAATATAAAACATGTTTTCAGTTATTTCACCTTTTTTTGTTAAGTACATAACTCCACATGTGTTCATTCATAGTTTTGATGCCTTCAGTGAGAATCTACAATGTAAATAGTCATGAAAATAAAGAAAATGCATTGAATGAGAAGGTGTGTCCAAACTTTTGGCCTGTACTGTATGTAGTTTCAATTCTTTTTGAAAGTTATTCCAAGTGAAAGGAGCAGTGCACACAAAAGCTTTCTTTCCCAGCTCAGTCTGACCACTGGGAACAGACAATAAGACTAAGTCTTGAGATCAGACTACAGCTACAATTAGATCTCTGTTCAGTCAAAGTACAAATTGAAGTTTGGGGGGGGGGGGGGGACGACGACTTGTTCCTGAGTTAAAACCCTATTTTCAGCCTCAGCTTTTAAGGTTATCAGCCTGAGGTTTAAAAGATATTTGTAAGAAGTGACAACCTCTGACTTCTTTCCCTGTGCAGTAATAACATTAGGGGTGTTCAATCAATGAATCAGGCAATTTTATTTATGAAGCCCAATATCACAAATCACAATTTGTCTCAGAGGGCTTTACAGCATACGACATCCCTCTGTCCTTTGGACCCTCACGGCGGATATGGAAAAACTCCCCCCAAAAAACCCTTTGAGAGGGAAAAAAAATGGTAGAAACCTCAGGAAGAGCAACTGAGGAGGGATCCCTCTTCCAGGACAGACAGAGGTGCAATAGATGTCATACAAAACAGATCAACATAATAAATTAACAGTAATCCGTATGACACAATAAGACAGAAAGAGAGACACAGAGACACAGAGAGAGAGAGAGAGAAATTGAGACAGAGAGAGAGACCGAGAGAGACAAAGCCAGAGAGAGATGAAGGGCAGACAGTAATGACAATAACAACATTAATTTTAGTAATAATATTATGATAACGGTAATTGTGGTACAATATGTTGTAAGTATATATGATAGTATATATATGTGACAATAATAATCACATGTGTACAATAACAGTAGAAGTATGACTAATTATAACATTCAGTAGTAGGAGGCATCAGGCAGGATCACGGCAGTGGCACAACCACGACACACCATCCAGGTGTAGCTGCGGTAAGTGTTAACCTGCGAGACAGTGGAGCACAAAGGCTCCGGAGAAGAAGCTGAGTTAGTGACATGCAGTAAAGCAGAGTAAGCGATATGCAGTAACAGGATGTGAATGTTAGCAAGTGAAGAAGAACCAAATATTCAGAAACTAAGGAGAGAGAGAGAAGGAGAAAAGGGGCTAGGTGTATTATAAGAGACTAGGCCTATGTCAACCTAACGAGGGGCTGGACCAAGACAAGCCTGAGCCAAACCTATCTAAAAGCTTTATCAACAAGGAAAGTTCTAGGTCTCGTCTTAAATGTGGAGACGGTGTCTGCATCCCGGACCGAAACAGG